GTAGGCTCAGTAGGCTCAGTAGGCTCAGTAGGCTCAGTAGGCTCAGCAGCCTCAGCAGCCTCAGCAGGCTCAGCAGGCTCAGCAGGCTCAGCAGGCTCAGTAGGCTCAGTAGGCTCAGCAGTCTTTTCATGGGCCTCAACTGATTTATCATTTGACTCATCAACATCTCCATTTGCTGGTTCAGATGCTTCTGTATTTGGTTCAACAGCCTCAGCGTTTTCCTTCACCGTGGCTTCTTCTTCCTCAGCAGATTCTACAACTTCATCAATTTCAGATTCAACAGGCACAGCAGTGTGTTCGATAGATCCTTGTTCCAGTACATCTGTCTCGTGAGACTGTGTCTCTGCTGGTACATGCGTCTCTTCGTCATGTGTGGTTGCCGCAACTGTGTCGGTTGGTTCAGCACTAGTGCTTGTAGGTGTGCTTCCAGTGGTTGATTTGTAAGTTTCTAAGAACCTTGGATCAGCGTTCAAGTAGAAGTTTCTAACACCAACGATTCTTCTCTCAGTTTCACACGCTTTCAACCATTCTGGTCTAACCACAGGGATGTTGGAATCAGTAGCCTTTTGCCATTGTTCACCGACTCCTACGGTTGTGACGAAATGTGTCGTATCAACTTTCACCTCGGTCTGTGAAGGCTTGGCTCCAATAGTCTTCAACGAGTGCTCAATATCTTCGAGTGTGACTCCCTCCTTTGGATCGATCTGGCCGATACACACGGTTATACCGCTCAAATCTGTCATTTTGTGGGTCTGAACTTCGAGATGTTCACTCTCATAGACACCAGCGGTGGTGGAAAGTCTCAAATGGAACTCATAGCCAGCATCGATCTGCAAACCAGACAGCTTCGTAGTAGTGGTAACCAATGGGTTGGGGATTTGACCCAACCTGGAGCCATTCTTGTACAAGCTGAGCGACTTGATCGAGGCCGACCCCAAATCAACAGGATCCCATTCCAGCACAGCGCTTGTCTGCGTGACGTTCTTCAGCTTCAGAACCGGAGCCTTTGGTTCATTGGTACCGAACAATTCCAGGATCTTGTCCTGGGTCTCTTGGAATATCCGCTTCTCCTCCTTCTCTTGTTCAAGGTCTTGTTCGCACTTGATGGTAACAACAGAGCCTGCGTTAACACCATCCGGAAGCAGGATCGTCGGGAATTCAATCAGATGATGGTCCTTTGTGAGTAACAGAGCAAGGGAAGCATCCAGCTTTCCCACAGTAAGAGAGACTTCAACCATTGGATGTGTTCTATAACGCGTTCCTTAGATCAAACCCTCGTTGTGAGAAGTCTTGACGATCTTTAGAAAGAGAACTTTTCCCACCCGCAACCCCTTCCCTATACCCCCGTTGAAAAAAAAAATCGCGCTTAGTCTCACTACACAACACTTAGCCCAGTGAAGACTGCTAACTCGCCTACAGTTATTGTTTACAGTTACTGTTTGGTGAATGTGATCTATGATAAGAGGATATAAATGGCATTAAAATGTCGTAAAGAGGTAATGTATAGGTTTATAGGATGTTATGCTAATGGGATGTAGGAGAGCCATCTCATACAAAGTCCGCCAAAACCTTAGCAACGACAGATACAAAGATATCGACGTGTTTCTTCTCAAAGGTCAAAGTTGGTCTCAATCTGACGGACACCTCGGCACAGCCACCACAGTTGACACCGTTCTGCTTCAATCTGTACAGGAATTCGTTTCTCTTCTCTGCGGATTCCAAGTCCCAGGCGATGAAGGTTGCTCTTCCCTTACCTCTCAAGTTCTGCAAGTGGCGAGGGTACTTGGCCTGCAATTCCTCCAATTTACCATACAGGTAGTCACCAACTTCCTTAGCCTTTGAGACCAAGTCGTTGTCGACGATCTCTTTGGCAATGGCACCAGCAAGGATCATTCTTGCTGGGTCACCACACCAGGTGTTGAATTGTCTGTATGGTGCAGCTGGGATGAACTCTGGGTTATGGAACCAGTAACCAGCAGATTGGAACTTCTTGGAGAAAGTGACCAAATCTGGTGGAGGAGTGATGTTGAAGTGCTCATGGGCCCAGAATGAACCAGTGGCACCGACACCGGTTTGAACCTCATCGACAATGAAGACAACGCCGTGCTTCAAGGTGACGTCTCTCAAGCCTTGGAAGAACTCAGCAGATGCGTGGTTGTCACCACCTTCGGATTGGACTGGCTCAATGATCAAAGCGGCGACAGGAACTTGCCATGTCTTGATGATGTTCTCAACAATCTCCAAACAACGAGCGTCCTCGGCCTTGTTGTACTCAGCGTTAGCCTCCAATGGGTACTTGTAAGCTGGGAACTCAGCCTTTGGCCACTTGAAAGATGGCAAATCAATCTTGTGGACCGGCTTGGAAGCGGTGACGGAGGCAGATGCGAACAAACGACCGTGGAAGGCTCTCTTGAATGAGATAACAGCCAAATCTGGGGAACCTGGGGCCTGGTTCTTCATGGTGGATTCGTTCTCCTCGGCGGTCCAGGCGGTGTTGTAACCTCTCTTTTGGCCTTGGTACCACATAAAGGCGGCCTTGAATGCCAACTCGTTGGCATCAGCACCGGACAAACCAGACCAGATGTGGTCTTGGCCCTTTGGTGCAACCTTGAGCAAGTTCTTGAGGATGCCCTCCAAGTCCTTACCTGGGAAGTTACCCAAGGCAGGTCTCTCAACAATGGCTCTAATCATCTCAGGGGATTTAGCAGCCTCGATCAAAGCTGGGTTGTTGTAACCCAAAGCGATGGATGCGATTTGCGCATACAAGTCCAAGTAAACGTTACCATCGACGTCTGCGATGTAGTTACCGTTGGACTTTTCGTAATCGGCAACGAAGTAGACAGGTCTGGAGTCAAACACCTTACCCAAGGACTCGATAGCCTTCTTGGACTCTGGGCCTGGGATCTGCGTGACCTTGACAACTGGTTGTTCAGGTTCGTTTGGATAGTACTTTGCGGCAATTGACATTGTATTCAACTTGGTTGATACCTTTGGGAGATAAGAGAACAAGAGGATCAAGAGAACAAACACACGAGTTTAAATAGTTTCACCCTCCAAGAACCCCGTGATTTCCATTGTGGTTGTTCATAGTCTATGGCTCCAAAGGGTAGCGGCTTTGGCACTAATTAGGCCATTTCCCGCGCGCGTCGACTGTCCCAATGGGGGAAGTGTGCTATCAGCGACTTTCGCGGGTATTTGAGAGCGAGATGCCGCAGAGGTCTTTTGATTTGCAGAGGTGACACAAAAACAAGGCGAAAAGTATGAGGCGCCCAAGCGGCGATGGCCTCAGATAGTAAAAACTAGGCAGAGCGAAGGGTTTAAGACTTATTAGAGATGGCGCAATTTCCAATTCGTGAGATAGTTTATATACAGTAGAACCAAACACAAGTGAGGTTCCTCTTCCACGACCCACGGGAAAGACAAAGGATCCCGTTGTGGGTGAGAAGGGAATCCACGATATAGAACAAAACAACCAGCGCACGAAAACAAAACAAAACAACAGCGGAAGAACATAAACCCGGATCATCATCATATCATTTACTCTTGTAACTTCATGGACAAACATCGTCTTCAGACCACTGGTCTTTATCGTACCTTTCGTACAAGTAACGGGATTGATGGCCGTTGAGATCGACAAAGTCAACTTTATCAACGAGCAACATCACCAACGAAAAGTTCTTCTTGCCGTCTTCTTCATGCGATCCATCAACGCCTCGAGAAATCGAGTCCAACAGTTTCTGCTTCTCCTCCGTGATCTTCGAGCCCGGTTCAGGTTTTCTGAAACTGGATTTCAGCTTTGTCGAGAGTGACGTCCACTTTGACTCCAGCTCTTGTTCCCACTCGGCCACAGTTGGCCTCTGTGGGCCATTTCCGTTGATTTGTTGGTGTGCAATGGCATCCAAGTCGGTATGCGAAGAGTACTGCTTGATGAATTGTGGTGATACCAGCGGATAATCGCCGAGCTTTTCATTGACACTGTCCAAACTGTCAAACCTTAGACCTGTAGCATGGCCGCTCAGTCTAAACTGGACATTTGACTGTGGGAACCAAAAGCATGCTTCAAATTTGGAGTTGTGATCCACATGTTCCCATTTCTCCATTCTGACATCTGTGGTGAACGTCAGGATGTTTGTCTTTTTATCATCGAATAAGAATCCTCTGTAGATACAAGTACGCACCTTTGGTGCGCCTGTTGAATCAACCGTTGCAAAGGAGAAAGTGACAAACGGACTGGTCTCTAATTGTCTTGATACTGCCTGCACAAAAGATGGTACCCATGGAGCCATTAACTGCATGTTTTCTATTTCTCTCGTTTTTCGTTGTTGCAATCTAGAAAACCACTGTGTGTGGATGTGTATTATATGGATATGATGCTCCTCCTTGGTCTATAGTGTATGCTGTGAGAGGGCGTTTAAACCACACTGGACAAATAACCTGTGGAAAAAAGAAACAAAAGTGTACGTTGTGTGCAAAAGGTGCGTAGAATATGAAGTCAAGTGTGTCGCACCGAGAAAAAAGGGAATGCAAAGAGGGAATGGAGAAATTTACTAGTGATTGAACTCAAAATGATACCAAGCGGATAAACTCTTTCTCTTCAACTCCAAGAAGAGGAACAATTTAAAGGTCAAAAGACAGATCTCCTCGAGTTGAAAAAAATGAAGAAGGAAGTTTGACAAAGAAGAAAAAAAGCTTCTGAAATTAATGATCTTTGAATGCGGTGTGTGTTGTTTTTTCGTCGAAACACCTGACGCTTTTTGTCGTAAACCGGCAAAAAGCCCACAAGAGAAAACGAGTGGAAAAGACAGCAGAGACAGAAAAAATGACAACAAGCGACGCACGAGCAGATTACAAAAGGAGGGAGAAAAAACCTTAGGCAGCTTCTTTGGTGGCTGCAGCGCTTGTGACCCCGCCCAGACGACAACTTGCCTCGTCTCCCAGACACAGACAGCAAAAGGCGCATTTCCTTCGGAGGAGTTAGCGGGTGGCTTACTGAGAGGATCAAGTGGACAAGAGAGGGCGCTTTGGTTGGCCGACAGGAATTAAGGAGACGCAGTTGCGAATCACGGAGTTTGTCCCCCCCACACGTGGGAGAGAAGGCCTGGAAGCTGTCCGCTTGATGGTCTAGTTGATCATGGCCACATACCTAAAACCTACTGTGCGAAACGCTTACTGCGCTGTTAGTCTATTTGCTGAATATGGAAAACCACTATGAGGCAGCGGTGCAAGGGGAGCTGGAAAAATATCCACATGACATTATGTAGATGGTGTACTACTTGTTGCTTCGCCAACTGTCCTTTAAGCCAGCTGCACTCTGTGCCGAAAGAGACGTTGGTGTAGGTTGGATAAGCTAATTTCTTGATCTGTGATCGTGTTTTTGTTTTTCCTCTTGTGCTTCCCACGAGCTCTCGGCGGGATGGTTGAAATTTCTCTCACAATTTTAATGCTCAAGTCGGCACAGTGCTTTCACGTAATGTCCTCAAGCTGGAAGTAATGTTCGCCCGAGTTTTGAGCCCATCATCAATTAGAAATGCAAGGGCATTTTCAGTGTCATCTTCTGCTCTTAAAGCTGCTGTCCCTAAATGTAAGAATTTCAACCTTCAGAACGATCAACATTGTGCGTGGTTTACTGACTAAAGTAAAAATAAAACAGTCGTGTCGCCTGCGTCTGTTCAGTTGAAAGTGGGTCTCATTAAACAATGTGATCGCCATCCCGATGCCGATAAGCTTTACGTATCGCAGATTCTGAGTGACGAGACAGACAAACCAATCACCGTTTGTAGCGGATTGGTGGACTTCATACCGCAGGATCAGTTACAGGGTTCAAGAGTTGTTTTGGTCATGAATCTCAAACCTGTTAACATGAGAGGTGTCAAGTCACAAGCGATGCTTCTCGCTGCGGAGAAATTAGACAGCGAAGGACAATTACAGACTGTGGAACTCGTGAAGCCTCCTCTCAGTTCGCAGGTTGGTCAGACTTTATCGTTTAAGGGATTTGAAGTTGATCTCGATGCAGAGCCGCAGAGGTTGAATGCAAAGAACTGGACCAAGATCCAGGCCAGGTTGTTCACAAATGCTAATGGTCATGTTGTATATAAAGACCAAGATGACGTGGAACACGTCCTCATCTCACAAGACGGTAATGATCAGTGTGAGCCTTGCTCTGTTAAATCGGCATTCAACTCACAAGTGCGTTAACAACATTTCACTTTACTGTTGTATTACGCAAATGTATATAGTGATATTCATCATGCTTGAAGTACATATGAATTAGACAAAGCATTGTATTAGTATGGGATCATAGCACGTAGAATCGGTGCCTTTGAGTTTCAATTGAAGTAGGAAAGTTAATGGCGAAGGAACTCAAGACACATAGGTAGATTGATCAGATTGTGGAAATCCTTGGTAGGAAATACGGATAGAGATGGTTGAAACAAAGGACGAGAACGGAAACAAGAACAACAGGAAGAGAAGGAATATCAAGAAAACGAACAAAACCAAGAATAAAGAATGAAAAACAAAACGTGTATAGCAAAGCCAGTAATAATCAGCAAACTGTGAGGACAACAGTATAAATAGGCCTTACATTGGTTGGTAGAAACCCATCGGTTGATGCTGTAATGGTTGCTGTGGGAATTGCATGTGAAATCCAGTGGTTCCCTCAAGTGACTGTTGAGGAACAAATGAGATGACATTGTTCAAATTACCAGCTTTGTAGTTATGATCCGTAGCACGGTTGCTATTGTAACCGTATTGTGGAATGTCAAATTCACCAAAGTTTTGGGAAGTGGAACTGAAAGGGAAAGATTGTGATGCTGGTGAGAACTTGTTCATAGGTGTCATGTTGATGTTATTAATATTAGTGAGATCTTGCCCCATATCACAAATGTTGAAGCTGAGAGAATGTGTACTGGAAGTACTGGTAGTTGGAGTTTGAGCACGAATCAAATCTTGTTCAGAGAATCCAAGTTCTTTCAACAGCGTAATCTTGTCAAATTTCACTTTGACCATTTCCACACGAGGTAAGCCCATTAAACGGGCAAGTTTCCGATACCTGTCACTTCCATCGTCCCACTTCTTGACCAGACTGGTGAGCAACAGTGTGATCAACCTACTCTCTTGAATCTGCTCTTCCAATCCATTATCAGAATGGAATATTATATGGTTCAATAGTCCAATTGATATTGCGTGTAGCTCCAGATCATGATTACTTGCCTCTGTAATAAATTTAAGCAGGAGATAAAATGCGAAGCTTCCATACAACTGGAATAAATCTTGGAAAATTCCAAACACCTTCAGCTTTAGTATCTTTGCTGCAGAAGTGTATTCAGGGTTAAAGACACCAGAGTGTTTCAGCTCAGTAGATATCATCAATGAAGTGAATAGCGATGTGAAACACAATTTCATTGCTTTATCCATACAACGGTAACTTAACCCAACGTGATTGCCGTCAAAATTAACCTTCAAGTTGAGATCTTCATTTGCAACCATATACTGCTGGAGGATTTTCCTTTGAATTGAAAGACAGAGTAACGAACCATTGATTAGCCTGTAAACGTTATTAGCGTTAATCTGTGAAGTTGGAATACCGTCTAAATGGATATCTGTAAAGTTTGATCTTGGTAATGGTGCAAACCTTTTCAAGTTCATATAGTCCATAAAAGTTTGAGGTAACTGTTTGTTTGGATTAACAAATTGTAAAATTGATTTGTTGATAATGAAGTTTGAGTATAAGAATAGAGAGTCGATTGAAAAGATGGAGCCATATTCAGATACAACGTGATGGTCTTCAACCAATTCAAAACGTGAATCGATAGATGAGAGTGACCTCTCTAACAAAATTGCCATTTGAAAGTCCTGAGTGAAGTCAATCTTGTAATTGTGATCGATTAGTTCAAATATGACTTTGTATCTGGCGTAGATAGATTCATGCAGTGCACCCAAGAATTCTGTATTCATGATTCTTGATAGAAGTTTCGTGTTTAGCAGAGGGTTCTTCAGGTCCAAAGTCGATGAAATCTTGAAAATGATGTACTTCACAACATCACCAAAGGGACCTTGATCCAGTTCTAGCAATGAATCAGAAACATCTAGAACATCAGCCAATAGCAGCATCAGTTCACAAGCTAGGTCACTGTTTAGTGATGTGATCAAGTTTGACAGCAACAAGGATATATCTGTAGTGGAGTTTTCTAATGCAAAGACATCACCTTTCAGTGACTTGAGAGACAACAATGCCGAATATATTGGGGAAACTTGCTTTGAACATCCCAACAATATTTCATTTGGTAGATATGGGAAAACCTGTTCAATAACATCAGCTGACATTTCCAAGTCCTTTAAAAGGTGGATTTTGTTAAGTATAGTTATTGGACCAGGTGCACGTTTAATATCGTGTACAGTAGTGGTGGGCAACTGTAAAGTTCTTTCCCATAGCTTGTTGAACACTTCAAACACATCCATATTGGTCGAAGAATTAACAGAGAACATCTTAACAACATTTTCCAATAGCCTATCAATGGTTAGGTGGTAAATGAACAACAATGCGAGGACTTTTGTCAATGTATCGCTCTTGTCGTATTTCATCTTAAAAGAGAACGAAATAGTAATGAGCAATGGACTTATCAAAGAGAGATTTGATAATAGGTTCGAGTATAAGCTTCCTAAATCTTTCAGGGTGTCTAAGATCTTCAAGTACACCTTCAAGATCGTATCGATGATATTCGGAGTCATTTCCGATTTGATCAATTCGTTGATCTTATCATTTGCACAAAGCAACGAGACAACGCGGATAAATTGACGCGTATCTTCACCAATGAGGCATGACTCGTCGAGAGTTGTAAGCCATGGACCAACTTTTCTTAACAGTGGCAAAACTTCGTCGTCATAATTCTTTGAATCGCTCAGCGCCTTTATCTCGTTCAGCACCTGTACAAGAGCAGCGTCATCATCACGGGACTCTGGGTTACCAACGAGACAGATAATGCCTCCAAGATCTGTGGATAGCTTTAGAACACCAGCCTCAGATGAGATATCCATCTGTGACATCTTGTCTTCAAGCGGCATGCTCATCCCAAATATTTTTCTCACTAGTGGCGTGGCCTCTCTTGCTTATGCGTGTCTTTGGTCAACACTGAATAAGCCTTGATCTGTTAACAATGGGGAAGGGAAAATTTCGAAACACAAGCAGTCAACGTGTGCAGCCAATAACGATACGCTTGATATTGATACCAATCGCTCTGTTCGATTTTATCAATTAATATAATATCAACTGGATCAATTCTTGAAATGCAATTCGTCAAAAACCAATAGCTCCAGGTGTAATTTACCGATCAAAGGGAACTTCAAAGAGCAAAAAGAGAAGCTTTTTTTTCTTAATGGCTTTTTTTGGTTGTAAATTGTCGCCCTTTTGACGACTTTTGCGCCAAATGCGAAACTGCTGTCAGGGCACGAAAAGACACAGCGAAATGACGGCAAAACTGATTTGTGACAGGAAAATTGTCCGATATGGGCAATTCAAGCCCTTCCCACAGGGAAGATTTTACGAAATATACAACGATATTTGAGAAGCTCCTTATCTCGCTCGTATTGTCGACCATTCAGTCAAGAAGGGACCAGACGTTCATCTCATCATGAGCCAGTGATAGATCATCCGCTCACCACGCGTCGTTCACGCAGCACGAAGGCGTGTGTCGTTACCACTTTGCTGTGATATTCGACCTTCGGACTCGATTTCCGGATTGATCACTGAATTATAGCAACTGTGATTTAATGTATTACAATTATCACACCGTATTGGGATGTGAAAACAACATGAAGCACGAATCCTCAAGATTCGAGTGTTTCTCTACAATGGTTTACAAGGCACTTCTTGAACCATTATTTTTCCCCTTTATAAAGTTCCTAGAACTTAACCTTCATCTCTTATATTTCTGAATTATATTGTTATTAAGATTATTATTATTGTCATTATCATTTCAAGTATTCTACTAACCACACCGTGCGAAAGGAACAATATACATCCTGTTGTTAGTGAAAGATATATTGTGACATCGATATAACTGGAAACAGTAAGCTCAACCCCAATGAGCACAACTGTCTTTGGCCGACCGCACCTTCCGCTGTGCCTAGTGCAACCTGTTTGTCGCATCTCAATAGACACACACAAGGAGTGCGTTCATGCTCCTCTAAAGAAATCACTACCTTTTTGCTGTCTCCTGGACTTTCTAAGGGGCCCAAAATGGCACATTTTCATGAACGGTGAATAACCAGGAGAATAGCCCAAAGAATCATGTAGCCGTTAGTACACATTAGCAATTCTTTCTGCTCGCATACACCGTACCTAATGCGTATTGGTGTATGGATGTTTTATGCTATATTGTGTTTAACATATGTGAGCACAAACTATAATTACGCCCCCGGTATTAATCACCTCATTATTACGGTTATAAAGGTACAGCAACCCCTTTATTCAACCCTAACCTCGTCCTGTTCATAGCACAAGCAATCAAACAGTTAAACCACTCAAATGTCGTTCAAACCTGCTCTCTTGGTCATCGATATCCAACACGACTTCCTCCCAGGTGGCTCTTTAGCAGTCGTTAACGGTGACGATATCATCCCTGGAGTGCTAGAGCTGTTGGATTTCAACAAGTACAACTGGAAATCCGTTGTGTTTAGCCAAGATTGGCACCCACGGGATCACACCTCTTTTGCTTCGAACCACGCAAACGTTAAACCATTTGAAAAGGTGTCATTCACATCGACAAAGGACCCCAAGGTTACCTCTGATGAGACGGTTTGGCCAGACCACTGTGTCCAGCATTCACACGGGGCAAACTTCCCTGATGAGTTGATCGCTGCTTATAAGCAAATACCGGTGGAGAAGACCATCATCCAAAAGGGTCACCTCCAAGACCGTGATTACTATAGTGCGTTTAACGACATCTGGGACGATGATCATACAGAGCTGGGCCCCTTTTTGAAATCGCAAGGAATCACACATGTCTTCGTCGTGGGACTTGCATACGATTACTGTGTAAAGTTTACCTCTGCGTCGAGCGCCAAGTTGGGATTTAAGACTTATGTGATCAAACCTTTAGCAAAGGCTATTGAGCTGGACAAACTTGATCAGACAGACGCTTACTACAGAGATCACGGTGTGACCATCATTGAGTCTTTAGACGACGATATTTTAAAGGCAGTGAAGAAGTGAATCTCATAGCACAACGTCGAATATAACTAGGAAAACATGGATTAAGGGAAACGGTATAGTATTATACGGAATATATAATAAGCTTGTTATAAAGTGTGAAACAGTAAACTGTAATGACCACTTCTTGTCCGGACTAGCAAGACTTTTTGGTCCGCGTACGGTCTAAAGCCGATCCCCGTGTTTTGAGAAGCTTGCTCCGAGGAATATCGAAACCCGCCTATATAACAGTGGAAAGACCCTCTTGAAACAGCAAAAGATCTCAATTGGATAAGAGTGATTCAAGTTATCAAACAATTTAAACAATGTCACAAGCAGTGAGTTAACCTTGCAGACGGAATATTCACAACGATGTCAATTCACTAACTGTATTCCACTTTTATAGGCTAAACAAGGAATTAAAATCCTGGAATTTGCAGGTAAAGACGGGGCCTATAAGAGAAGGGCATCCACATTCAGAAGCGCTGTTTCTTCTAAACCGGGATCTCAATTCACGGCAGAAGCTGGAAGATACCATGTGTACATCAGTCTTGCCTGTCCATGGGCTCACCGTGTATTGATTTACCTGCAGACAAAGGGTCTCATCAAGAATTTCAACCCTGTTGATTCTACCGTTTCAAAGGACTCAATTATCGGCCTTAGCGTTGTCCATTGGCACATGGACTCTAAAGGTTGGAGATTCCCAAGCAGTGACGATAAGTGTGATGCTGCTACTGAGGAACCACTGTACGGGTTCAAGAGAATCTCTGAGCTGTACTTCAAAGCGGACCCAAACTATGAGGGGAGATTCACGGTCCCTGTATTCTGGGATAAGAAGACGCAAACCATAGTTAACAACGAGAGTTCTGAAATCATCAGATTCTTGAATGCTGAGTTTAATGATCTTATCGAGGATCCAAGCCAGAAGGCACTTAACTATTTACCAAATGACCTGATTCCAAAGATTGATGAATTGAATGAGCTCATTTATGAGAATATCAACAATGCTGTTTACAAATCCGGTTTCGCTTCAAAGCAAGAAGTTTACGAGACTGAAGTGAAGAACCTATTCGAGCATTTGGATAAAGTGGAGGCCATTCTCAAGAAGAACAACTCAAACGGAATCAAATACCTCTTGAACAATGAATTGACCGAAGCTGATGTGAGATTATTCACAACCATCATCAGATTTGATCCAGTCTACGTTCAACATTTCAAATGTAACATTGGTATGATCCGTTTTGACTATCCACATCTACACAAATGGGTCAGGGAGATTTATTGGAATGAGCCATTGATCAAAGATACTTGTAACTTTGACCATATCAAATTCCACTACACGAAATCTCACGTTGCTATTAATCCACATGGTATCACACCATTGGGCCCTGTTCCAAACATATTGCCTTTGAAGTAATCCATGGTGGGCACTGAACAGTTTTCTCTGATCTCTTTCTTCTTCTCTTCTCCTCCCACTTTGCTGTATTTCGTCTTTATGTATTGACAACTCGAATAATCTTTATGACATGTTCGTTATTGCAAGGCATTGTGGTAGTGCTTCAAGCCGATTCCAACTCTGTAGAGTACACCGTGATACTAATACCGGAGTGATCTGATTACAACAGTGAGAATCATCCACATTAGTAGGCAGCTGTGCAGCTGTTGATATCACCATGCAAATACATTACAAGAAGGAAAGGCATATTTGTGCAGGTTCTTTTGCTTGATTAATCATCAAGGTCTATTTCAAAGTCCTACTATCATACACTGAAGCAACACCAGGCTTCAAAACTCTTTGCATGTTGAGGTTTCCCGTTGATTTGTAATTTTGAGCTGAATTATAAAGCCGCTAATTGCGCAAAACCCCGACGATGACAAATGCTTCGGTACCACACCAAAAAAGCCACACCTCAAGCATTTACTTATTAATACGGGGTATGGTGGCATATATGTAATATGCAACGGTGTGTTATGCCATGCTTCAATGGATAGAGGAGGTTACTGGCTGGTACTATCGATCAATTGGTGTCTCCACGTCTATTCTTAACCGAGAAGTGAAGCATACACCTATGAGGACTAATTATAAGACATAGCATTGAGCTTAGTCCATGGCACCTCGCAATGCGTTGTGGCAATACGAAATATCCATGACTGCTCAAAGATTTTCAACTAGGCCTGTAAAGATAGGGGCCAATTATTAAAGCCTTAAAGCCTCAGTACATTTTGGGACATACAAACTACAGTTATTGCTCAAAGTTTCAATTGCACAGTCGTACGTGATAATTACATAAGATCTGGGTGGCATCTTACACGGGATGGAGCCGTTGTGTATAAAAGAGGAGTCCTCGGCACTCAGGCTCAGCTCCTTTCGCCATCCACATCTATCGTTTAACACATATACAACTCAATTGAGGTGCCAAATATACACGCACAGCTTACAATATGTCCCATACAGTCGCAGTTTACGGTCTTAACGGTCTTCTCGGAATTCACGTCATCAACGCTCTTCTCTCTGAGCCATTTGTATCAAAGATCAAGACACCAATCAAGCTCATCACTCACTCTGCCAAACGCATTGTTGAGTCTGACAAGGTTGAATACGTTGACATCAATCAAGTTGGATTGAAGAAAGCATTCGAAGGTGTGGATGCCGTTGTCAACTTGGCCAACTTCCCTCACGGTGCTAATCAGGACGTTATCGATGCCGTCGTTGAAGATAACGTGAAACTATACATTCCATCCCAGTTCGGTACTGATATCGTTGCAGCTCAAAAGACATTCCCTGGCTTCTTACAACCGAAGGTTGATCATTCCAACGCTGCAAGAGCTGCTGGTGTCAAGACTGTTGATATCATCACATCTCTCTTCGTCGCACCAGATCAACTGTTTATGGGTCACCCATTGTCGATCTTGAACTTTGACAGTGAGAAGAATGAAGTTGAGATTGTGGGGGATGAGAACACGCCAATTAACCCATCCTTCTTAAACGACATCGGTAAAGTTGTCGCTGCTCTTGTCACCAAAGATGACTACTCATCCATCCCTGATACCGTTAGAGTATACTCTGGAAAGGTTACCTTGGGAGATTTAGTTGAACATTACAACAAGACACACAATACATCCTTGAACAAGAAATATGTTAAGCCAGAGGCTGTTATTGAACAAGCGAAGAATACACCATTCTCATTCGAACACTTTGTTCTCTACTTGAGAGCCATTCTAGCTGGTGGGGAAGGTAACGGTAACATCTTTGAAACCGAGAATGACAGAGAGTTTGTCAACCCTGATGAATCTCTCTTCAAATGGACAAAGTATAACATCTAAGGATAACCGATGTGCAGTGCAATAGGGGTTCTCTGTTTATATACAATTTACAAGCTTTCTGATATGTGTAAAATTTCTTGTATTTCCAGTTTGAGACAACATAGTACTTATTCGTTGTTTAGTTCATCCAACATCTGCTTTGATTTCATGACTCTTGTAGAGATATTCGCCAATGTCTTGAGCTTGACGACAACTTCAGGTGCAATTTCAATACCTGTTGCAGAAGAAACGAGGTCACTGAGCTCACGAGAGTCAAAAACCTTGAAGTCTAATACTGTGTCAACAGATTCAAGTGGGTAAACTTTACGAATGAGGTTGAACAATTTTGCACTCAGTTGCTCATTGATAGGGAAGTTTGGAATAACCACTTCAAATGGTTCAGAGATAGACAAAACCTTGTGAGATCCCTTGGAGTGATATCTTAATTCATAGATACCCTTATCAAACTGTAGTAATTCGCCTTTAAACTCCACTACTCCAGTAACCAGGTTACCTTGACTTGGGTGTTCTTCTTCAATAATTCCAGTAGGTCTTTGATATGCATGTGAATTCACAGCAATCCATCTTCCTGAGCTCGAAATCTTTGTTATCTTACGGGAGGACCCAGTGCTCATGACTTGGTACAAGCCAATCCAGTCCTTTGGATGATGACCTTTTGGAGCTGTCCATTTAACGCGGATCGGCTGGCCAATTTCCACAGTTTTGTCCTCATCCAAATTCATCAACGAAAGAGTATAGCCCTCTGAGTGAGAGACTGATTCCCCATAGATATGTTTTCTAAATTCTTTTTGATGAGCAACATCAGATTGAGTACGTCTCTTAATATATGTGTGCATACGCGTAGCTGTATTAGCATAGAATGAGCCAATTGTATTATTCAATTTGGCAGGAAGGAACTGCTGCAAAGTCAATGACACACCAGAGACATTCTTCAAAACTTGCTGCTCTCCATAAACCTTGAGCATATGTGGTTTCTCAACAAACTCCAAATGGAGAGACGTATGAATGGTCCAAACCATAGCCAATACAAAGACATAAGGTGAGTAAGTAATCAATACTGCACCCCAGATTCCAGCCACACCGAGCAGTCTTTCTGGATCGTTCAAGTATCTGTAGATTCCTGACTTTGTCAATGTTTTACTTGATAGGTTTGGCAGGAAGAAATCACCATAAAACCAGCCGAAATCGCCAATCGAAGAATAGATAGAGGTACTAGTCCAAATTTGTAGTGCAATGAGGAGACCTCCCAGTATAACCCTCAAGAGCAACCAATTTCCAGTGAGGTATTGTCCATCCATAATCTCACGAACAACAAGTGCAGTCAATGAAGTGTAAGAAAGGACAAGAAGAACGTTATACAACACTTGCCAGTTGGAATAAGCCGTTATGTTATCCATACCATATTTGAGATACAGCTTTGTCCACCATTTGTCACTGCTTTGTCTTTGTAAGACAATAGAAGTTGCAACAGCTTGCACAACTTTAATGGCTAATGCGGCAGCAAATATGACATTTGTCCAAGTAGAATCAGTAAAGTCTTTTGCAAATGGTGCCAAGGAGGTACCAGCAGCCAAGATAACGGTCAAATAATCAGTGATTCTAATTGGGTTGAAGTTGTTAATAATGGTGAGTGGTTTCAAATAGTGTTCGTTATTCTCCAAAGCTTCGACAACGTGTTCATGGTCTTCCGATCCATAAGTTTTCACGATGTGAGGTTCCTCAACGTAGTTCAGGAAGAGAAACTGAAGCGTGTGAGCAATCAAAGAGACGATCAAGACGAGATATGACTTGGTAATCAAGGCAAACCCATAATATCCCAGGTAACCAATGGAATACATTGGGTGTGGTGACAGGTTGAAGACACCATCAAAGATAAGTTCACTCTCCTGCAAGAAGAAGAAATCACCCCAGTACCAGGCATAATCCTTAACAACCCTGTGAGCATCAATCTTGACCCACAAGTTGAACAACACCATCAAGGATCCCAAGATGATTCTTGTATAGTTCAAAAATGGGGACTGAGAGAGCATGCTGTCCTGTCCGCAGGTGTACACCAAGAACATGTAAGAGGTGAAATCCTGCATCAAGATCAGATCGACCAACTGTCTAAAGATGATCCAAGTGTTGAACTCGATCGGGAAACTTGAAGCTTCATAAGACTTGCCCATTTTTGACTTGATTTCCAGAGCCACCATTTTCTGTAAAAGAGTCTTATTCTCCTTTTGGAAGAGACCATATCTCTTTGCCAAGTTCACCAGTGCATTTTGGTTCGATTGAACGTAAAGCAGAACACCGATACCCAAGTTATAGGACAATCTCCAGAATGCATACAGTGAACAGAACCCATAGACTCTCCACTCCTGCGACCCCAACACTTTGTAGACGACAAAATTCAACAGCAGCGAGAAGAAGATCAACACCTCACAATAGCTCTTGCGTAGAGTCGGGTCGAAAAGCGATCTAACCATGTCGTGGGTCTCTGGCACTTCGAAGTACGTACCGTCTCCAGTCCGGCCCATTGTGCGTTTGCCCGCTGCATTGGCGGGTTTAGCGCTTACATCAACAGCGCCATGGATGGAATCCTCCATGTCGCTGTTCTCAGAGACCGACGAGACCGGCTCCTCTGTTGTCGTTGTGTTGAGCAGTGAGCTCTTGGAAGCAGTGGCTGTTGAAGACTGTGCCATTTCGCACCGTATAACCAGAATCTCAACCTGAGCGCTTCAATGATAACGCAAACTGTGTAAAAGCCTTCCCTGTTACTGACACTGTTGAAGTATGTGGAAGAGGTAGGCAAAGCGGTTTAATCACCCTGGTATTCGTGTAAGCTAAGGAAGAAGAACTCGTGTGACGGGAGAACTGTGAAATTTTTCGCCTCGCAATCTTTTTCTGTTCCTTTCCCTTGTGATAGCGTCCAGTGCTACTTGAGAGCCTTCAAGGCGCATGTGATTTGATGACACTTTTTTGGGGTGATCAAACGGCCGGTGCCCATAGAAATGAGCGAACTGTGGAGCGCTTCCCGCGAGTGTGGGCGGCAAAATCTGTGCCATCTTCACATGCGGATCGAAAGCGCACGCGCGAATGTGTGCGATACCGGCAATCGGGATCCCTCTGATGGTGATGTTTCCCCGTTTGGGATGTTGAGGATGGGTTTGTTTAGGGATCCAAAGGGCTGGAGGAAAGGAGTTGGAAGTTGTGAAGGTTCAGATGCTGTTTTGGTGGCGCTGAGCGGTTACCTTCGATGTACTCTGTGTAGTTCACAGAGCGCTGTGTCTGAATACTTGTGTATACGTATTTCTTTGCAAAGAGTGTCTCTGGCTTCGTGGGATGTTGCCTGGAACAAGAGATTCCTTGTGTGCCATCTGGCAAGGAACACGCTGACTCGATGTCCTCAGGGTAGATCTGGAACGCACTCTTAATGGCCCTGCCGGTGCTAATCGATACTTGGTGTCGTGATTTGTGAGAGGAGGTGGACCATCACTGTTTTATGGCAACAGATAGTTCATACTCCAAGTTACAACGCGGTGCTTGTTTCTGTGTGATTATGAGCGTTGTCAGTGAACATATGGTTACATTCCTCTAGAATTCCATCTCTTGTGGGGACTATTGCCGTGGTTTCGTTTACACAGTTCGTACTTACCTGGTTCCAGTATGTTCAGGTGCATATTTCTTACCAGATGTAGTATGACAGGATAACAGTTCGCCCGAACAAGTGGGAGCACACACACACACACACACACACACACACACACACGGGCAGTATCAATCAGCTCACATGATTCACATCGCGTCTGGAGTGCCATTGACTGTGATAATGGAAATACTTATCCTTCCATACTCGGCTCTTGATTGCCCTACGATTATGCAAGAACGTTTTCTAAGCCAAAACGCGCTCAATTTTTCTGCGATAAATAGATCTATTTCACCACATTTATATGTCAAAAGGATATAAAACCTAGTAGTGCTTGACTTATGGAAGACATAGATTCTTCTGAAGCTGTACTACACAACATTTATGATAGTAGCGCTTCCTATAGGACTTACAATCCGAATTTCCAAAAATCAACAGTTCCTTTTTGTTAAAGATGGTTTGGGTGCAAAAAAATAAATGGTCCCTAGCAGGATCGAACTGCTGATCTTGGCGTTATTAGCACCACGCCTTAACCAACTGGGCCAAGGGACCTTTTTGTTGAACGATGAAATCCACCGCTTGTTTTCGCTTCTTGCACGCTTCAACAGCCAACGATTTTACGTGACTTTCTTTATACATCATATCACACATTGACTGTTATACCTTCACTCTTCCCATAGATCTTCGTCACCATCCATTATTCCTTTCGTGAGTATTAACTTTGGTTGAAATCCCCATCGCTCAACAGTTATCTCATAATCTCTGTGTGTTATTGCACTGCTTGCTGCCATTTAGTCTTCGTGCTTGTTAATACATTATATAATCCTGATGGTGGATAATACACTGATCGTTCTATCCTGTTAACCTCAAAAGATAAATCGCCTTCAATAATTGAATTCGTATACTTTATCACTTTTTACTCCCTTCTTGATAACTGTTCAGGTCCTTTTGTTCTTCTTTTGTACTCTCTGAACTTTTGCAGAACAAGTGGTAAGCATACCAGTTCACCGTCAAGCACTCTTGTCGATATCACAGTGACCATTCTCCTAGCTGGTGTTTTCCAAACGACTGTAGTATATTCAATGTTTCTTGAAAAGGGGCTTATTGCTGTGTGATTTTGGGTTTCTCAAACTCTTAATTGGATGCCGTGTATATAAACTAACATTGTCGTGGTCCTCTGACCTATACTAAATCAAAAGCCGATGGAAAGCTTACTGTCCCGCAAACTTGACAATATCGTGATTTAAATAGTTAAAACTACTTCTTCAGGTTGTCTAATTAGCTATGTCTATAGTTTATTCCGAATTTATACCTTTGAAAGCCAAAATGCTCTCCATAATGAAGCGTTTGGGCCATAAACAGTCCATAAAGAAACGGTTCAGGTTATTCTCAGATTTCGTTCACAATGTTTCATCGACACAATAAATAGACATTATTGATCATACGTCAAGATCAAATTCACTAAAATTGGATTGATCCCATACTATCTATTCACTATAAACTACTCAGTTAAAGAGGACATTCTTCACATTCCGGAAACATTAAAACTTAACACAATGGTTCCTCAACATTTCTGTCCCAGCACTGGATCACTTACAGAATTGAACTAGTTCATCCCCACAGTAGATATACCATTCAACAACTCTGTGCACTTTCTAATAGATAACTCACGATGGCCTTCTTCATTACTGTAGCATTCTCCTCTGCAGTGGTCATAATTTCCTTCAGATTAGTCAATGGATTTGAAGCCTCGCTCAGCATACCAACAACCTCATCCCTAACAAAACTTATAATGGTGTTGTTCGTGGCATCAAATCCTGAAGTGACAATGTCGAGTAGCTCAATATTAGCATTGATCAAAGCTAAGGTGGTGGCATCGCTGATTATCCCCAACAGCTTTAAGTATAAGGACTCAACGTCCTGTACACTGATAACATTTATAAAGATATCAATACCACTCTTTGGGTATTTGGCAAGATTGATAACACCCACAAAACTGTTCTCAATATAGGTACAAAACTTCTTCTCCAATAGCTCATCAAGAACATCACCAACGTCATCGAGCGTAACACTCAGACCCGCGGTATCAGTGAACGAGCCTCGTATAGGTCTTGGCCCATATATGCTCACACTAACAATGTTTCCATCAACTTCGACATACGACGAACCGTTAGCATTAGAAACTAAGCCTGACTGGATAAAAGTGCGTGTGATTCTCGCTTCAACGTCATTCTCCCTTACAAAGTCAACCTTGTGTTTCCTTAGAGTTGCTTCCGGCAGCTGTGCAAACACAAGAGGTTTGGCATTCGGAGGTCCACATATTCTTCTTCTATCGATAACGTTCATAGTTGAGCTGAGGTGTGTTCTTGAGTACTGTTATAGTGGACATATTCATCACGAGTAAATTTTCAAGGCCCTCATCACCACAATTGTTACGCGCAACATTCAATACAATACAATACATCTACAGCTTCACCAGATTGATATTGGGACCTTAATTTGAATTCCAAGGTTGAAAAGATACCATTTTCCCAGTCAGGAACAGATGGCTCACGTAGATGAATTTATAACACAACATATAGCACGTTAAGATTTATCCAGAAGACTCTGGATCATCCTTTTAAAGTATCCAGTTCGGAGCTGGTCACTCGATGTCCGCTTGAGAGTGATATCGTTTCAGGCTCCACTATAGTATCCTGTCCAGCAGGGTTGTACTCGGGTACGTAGTCAAACTCAGGTGGATCACTCTCCAGTTGGAGCAGCCTATTTCTCTCCAATTCAGCCTTATCAGATGCCATATCGACCTGATGGTGAACAAGACTTGTAGCTAGTGGAGAACGTGGTAATCTGTGAGACGCAGATCCGTTAAGTGGCGGAGCAGAGTACTCGGAGTTGGACTCTTGGTAATCGTAACTTGGTAATGGGGAGCTATCTGGATGAAACATTGGTTCCGATGGTAGCAGAGCCTCCTCGTTACGACGTAAGATCTCCTTTTCGCTTAAGCCTCCATTGATATCTGGAGCAGTACTGTCGTTTCCCGTAGAGTGACTGCGCGAGGTAGCACAAATGCTAGCCTGCCCCGAATGGACGTTAGATGTATGACTAATACTTATTGGACTTATCGATGCTGTGCTCAGTTTATCGAGCATAGACTCCTCATTGTCAACACCATTGCCTTGTGAATCACCGACGCCTTCTTGTTGTTTCAACTGGCTTACAGGGGATTTCTTTCTGTTCCTCTTAACCCTTTCAGTTCCAACTATAACCTCAGTGTTCAAACCAAGCATGTTTTTGCCCCTTTTGATGTTATCCACATTAACCATCCCATTTTCTGACATTATAAGATGGTCATGTTGTTGACCTAAATCAAACATAATGGAATGTGAGAATTTTTGAGAAGCATTCTGTTTCTGCGATGCATTGTTTTTCATAAAGTTCTTGTTGGTAACGTTTGCAAGTACTTCAATATAGTATTGGAAGGTTACAAGTCCAGTACCCACAATGGTTGGGAATGAATCCACGGGAACCTTTAAAGTTGTTGAAACTTCAGCAGTGAGCGTCTGTGGATCGATATAAAGAGGTGTAATTACTTGACAAAGATCCTTTCTAAAAGAGTGTAATGGAGTTTCTGGTCCATTATCCACACGACATAGACGAATGAGCGTAACTATTAACCCACATGAGGATTGAATAGGTTTGTAATGAGAAACACGGATTTTGATTGGTATAGTCTCTCCCCTCAGGTAACCGGATTGTTCCATATCCACGGAAAGCTTAACAAGGGCCTGATCTTTGTTCAACTGTAGGTGAAAATTGGAGCCAGATTCGGTACTGTTATCACTGTTATTTGTTGATTGTGTTGTATTTGAATTGATCGTTGAAGTTGATGAAATGGTCTTGAGCAATTTCTTGTCTGAAACTTTCAGATAGGCATGTTTGGTCTGTGGTTTGGGTATTTTAGCAACGTTTATGGGCACAATGATATTGAGATTCTTCTCACAATAGTGGATCGAGTTCTTTGGCGATGGCATTAAGATGGACTCGCCAGAAGAAGAAATCTGTGAAGCTGGCGATGAGTTCTTTGACGTTGAAGGTGAACCTGATTGGTTGTGGTTGATGGACGCCCTTAACGAGTACGATATTGATCCCTTTTCAAAGCTTATAGAGGTGAAAATGTTCTTCTTTGGTAGTTTGACCGAAAAGGGGAACCTGTGTTCTCCTTTGCTCAACCCGATGATGGCCTCGTCGCAGTGTTCTCTCTGTGATACTTCGTTGTGGTCATAGCCATAAATTACAGAAGTATGTCTGAACAAGATATGCGGTTTGCGCCTCACCGAGCCCGTTGGCTGTCCAGATTTGATCTTTATTAGTCCCATAAGGGTCAGCATGATGTTAATGTCTGTTATGTTCTTCTTCAGGTCAAGCACTGCCACTCCTGTGACTATTTCTCCTGGGCTCCATACCCTATGTGGTTCATCGAGTTCTATGTAGAAGTCGTTGATGAGATTGATACCTTCCAGCTTGAACGGGTTGCTGAAAGACCTCTCAGAGTTGGACCGTGAGGGCAAGAATCGAGACACGGCCTTCTTCATCTGTCCAAGTCACAGTCGATGCTCTCTGTCAAGACAGTCAAGACGTTGAATATCTCTTCTTCCTGTGGTTTTCTCCAAGACTAACTTTGTAAAGGAACAAAGGCCAGCAAACACAATGGTTACACGCACGCTCTCTCCCTCTTTCCTTCGTCCCTCTCACTCTCTTCCCCTTCTAGTTGAGTACACGACTCTTGAAGCGATGATGCGACCTGTTTGAAATGGAGGAGGCTATTGCGTATATGACTTCTCTTCCTTTCAGGCTGAATGGTACAGGCAATATGGCTTGTCACTGTGGTTTCTCTTGGTGTCTGAGTGGAATACAAAAAATACCCTGCTTCGTTTTCTCCTTTGCCCTTAAAACTATAGCACACCAAAAAAGCGATCAATTGTGAGTGCCGTTGACTAAAGCTTGTGTTCCCTCCGTTGTTCTGTATGCTTTTTCCTTCAATTTTTTGGGCGATTAGCCAAGCGGTGTGTCTTTTCCTTCTTTTTAGATCCGCGTGCTCGTGCTGTAAACTTATACCTCCAAGTTCCGGGGCTCAGGACGAGATTAGATTGTTAAGCAGAGAAATAACAAGGCCAAATGTGAATAAAGGGGGTGAAACTCAGATGTTGACGGATGAACTGAGTAGTTGTGTAAAGGTTTCACAAGTGATTTTTTTTGGAAACTTTTAGATGTGCTTTTTTTTCGTGTGAATGAATGGGTGAGTGAGCCTTCTGTGTGTGGGTAATTTTCGCTCTGGCTGTCGGTGGCTAAAAGAAGGAGAAATGTCTCTCTGGGTTTGTCCGATATTTTCTTTCTTTTCGTTTACGATACGAAGTTAACTGCGCGCCCCCCTCTCATGCATTCAAATGTCCATATTGGCGAGAGCATGGACAACGACAAAGCACAGACTTTTCTTCGTTCTCAATACGGGATTTACATGCGGAGTTTTAATGGTACATAGATATGGTCCAATGTACAGCAGCAGGGGGGAAGGCAGCAGTTATGGTGTAATCGTATACTTTTATCCCTAAATGGTTCATCATTGCACTGGCGTTCCAGCTTCTTTGGCCCAAATCTGATAATAAGATACGCTTAAGAATTTGCAGCATGTTGGATCTTTTCTTGCACAAGGTTGGAAACGGTTTCGTACATAAAACGGCTGTTGAAAGTTTGTCTTGTCCTTCTGCTGTGGCAGGATTTGCGGCGTGGCGACGCCGCGCAAGCTTCTATTTCATGGCGAACTACAGACATTTCTTAGGCGTTCAAACTGGTAATAGCAAGCGCTTACATTGTGCGGGACTGTCTTTCCAAATACGCTATGTATCAAGCTGTACGAAGATTCATATAGGAACGCTGTGCTTAACGTGTGATTTTAGATGTCGGAGTATGCCATTTGGTCATTGGATGTTGCACCTTTGAGGCCAGCGCGGGTGCTCATGAGCCCATTTTCAAGAAACACAAGATTTATATACTGCAAAACACCAAATATGCTGTACCCATGTCATCCTTTTAGCTAAGCCACATCGCAATTGACTTGGGAGTTGAGTGCTCTCACGTGAAGTTCTGAACTCTCCAGCTGCAACGTTTAACCAAGTTTTAGGGACAATCTATCACATCCAGCAGCCAAATCACACGTGGAAAAGGGGAGAGAACTGCAATAAACACCCAATTTCTCAACTTGACTGTAATTGATCGACTATCCTTCCTTGATTAGGATCATTCATGTATTCCAACAACGAATGCATGTTTGATTTGTAATGATTTGACTCCCAGGTTTCACCACTGATGCCATAAACGTTCATGTGAATTCAATGTTCAGTGCTCTAAATGTCCGAAAGCACATGTGTGTCTTGTACGCAG